AAAAGGTCTTTAAAAGTCTTAAATTTAACCTGCAGAACCCCAGTACAAATACAGAAAAACATGCACTTAACTTAAACTTTTTCTCTTCCATTTTCATGTTTATTTTTCAGGTAAGTGTTGTACTCAAAAACACTAGAGGAAGCATTTCAGAAAGATTTAAAAAAAAAAAAAAGACCTAATGTTAGGTCAATTACTGAGTGATTTCTCACAATCCAGATGGAATACAGACGTTGCCACAGTGACATGTCCCTGCTCGGGTTATTGATTTTACAGTCTGGTTGTTAAAAACGACTGTTGAAAATCAGAGAAATGGATCTAAATTGCACAGAGGAGATGATTTCGTTGTACTAGTATGAATGCCAAAAATAAAAAAATACTGCAAAGTAAATCTGATCTAAAAATGACGTCCAGTCTGCAGCAAAAAAATAACAGACAAGATAAAGGATCCAGTGTTCACACACTGTTCTCGGTACATTTTCAGTCTGTACATCCATAAAAAAACATTCTCATCTCTTGTCAAGAGAAAATCCCCTCTGAGAGCACTTCAACTATTTTGGCAACATTTGTGCAACAGAAAATGTCTTTAAGTATGAAAAACCATGTATATTTAAGGCAATATCTTGAATATGTCAAAGCAAAACATTTTATATGCGCACATGTTGTAGCAGTGTGTGTCCTGATGCTGTCACACACAAACATCTTTGGTGATCTGGGTCACTGTCTTTTGTCCTAATTCATTATAAATCCCATTATGAATGTGTCCAGTGCAGCTAAGTGTCTTGTTAGGTAACCCGACTTCCTCACTGTGGCATTACCCAGCATACAGTGCTGCCAGGTCAAGGTCCAGTGATGGATTAGCCCACCACTAGTAGGATGTTCTGGTTCTCTGAGTGTGTGTGTGTGTGTGTGTGTGTGTGTGTGTGTGTGTGTGTGCGAGGTGACTCCTTACAGTGGCACTGCAGTGATTGGACTTTGATTACGTTGGGGAACTCACAAGAAAGATTAAACTGTAGTCTCCATCTCCACAGCAGAAGCAGAGATATGATGACGCTCCGATGCAACTAGTGCTTTTCATTAGACTCTCTCCGTGTCCAAAGTCTGTAACACATGTTCGGCATGTGTACTGGCGGTGAGTACACTGAACTCCATGTGAGATACTGGCGAGTGCCTCTTTTATGTTTGCTTGTTGTTGAGTCTCTCAGTTTTTAAATCAAGTAATCGTTTGCAGTTTTGTTAAATCAGTGTCGGTGTGCGTCTGTGTGTCTCACTGTCTAACTGATACACTTCATGACTTTGGAGACTTTTTACCCGTGGAACATAATTTTTACACGCGACTGGTTTCTTTGGACTTCTGTCTTACTCTCCTTAAGAACACAATTCTGAAGACGGTGACTCTCAGAAATCTATTAAAGCTGACACACTACTAATTGCTGTTCAACTTCATATGACTCACTTGAATAAACGCCTTTTCAACTGTATTGGATAACTGCTTAACAACATTACGAGCCGCAGCCTCAAAAATGCCTCAATGATTCAATCACCAGCGCTGTCACTGTCGACTAAACTTAAACCCAGAAAAAAAAAAACCCAAAAACATAAACAAGCCTCTCACCTGAGCAGCCGTGTCATGGCGTGGCGGCAGACGTAGTGCAGAGGCGTGTTGTGCTGGTACTGCTCTCCATACGACGCATTCGGGTCCAGACCTTCCCTGAACTGAGGATTGCCCTCGTACAGCTGCCAGGCCAGCGCCTCGTCACCACCCACCAGGGCCTTGCGGAACTTGGTGGCCGTGTTGCCCATGGCTTTGAGCGGGCTGGGAGCCGCCTAAAGGGAGATGCCCGTCCGTCCGTCCGCCTGCCTCTGCCTCCCTCCTCCTCTTCCTCCTCCCCCGTTCACCACAGGTCACAACTTAGAGTAACATGGTTCAGTGTTTTCCTGCCCTGTGAGTCAAAGAGACAGAGAGAGGAGAGGAGTGATTAGAGGAACATGGTGGTGGAAAGAGGCACATGAGAAGAGGAAGGAATTATAATGAGTGGGGGGGAAAAAAGGCTGGTGAAGGTAGGAAAAAGGAGAGAAAAATACCAAGACAGAGGTCGGAGAGTGAAGAAATAGGGAGACAGATGGAAAGGGGAGAGACGGAGAGAGAGAGAGAGCAACTCAATCAGTCGGTCCATCCATCGATCAGCTGATGTGCCGGAGGGAGGATGTTATCTCACCGGAAATAGAGGAGAAAACGGAGGGACCGAAGAAAGAAGCTGGAAAGACGAAGAGATAAAGAGGGCAGGCGAGAGTGGAAGGTTAATGATATCCAAGCCATCGATTTTGTCAGTCAGTTGATGAAAGGCTCGGTCAATATTACCACAGCTGGACACTGCGAGTCCAGTTAGCTTGCGCTTGTGAGGAATTTGCATATTTCCAGCTGTTTACATGCTCGTCTGCCAGCGGAGATACGAGAGTCTGAATGTGTGTTAAACCGTGCAGCACTAATACGCTGGGCCAGAACCGGAATCACAGGAATCACAGCTACGTTGAGTTTACTCCACCAGAAACAGCTTAGGAAACTTAACACGGCTTTTATTTGTACGACAAAAAAATAAATAAACTTACAACACGAGAGTAATAACAGCACGGTGACAAAGGAACAAACACACTCTCGTCATTTATTTTACATAATCACTATATTTATCAGTGTGTTCTACTTCATTCCCCTTCTCGTCTTCCCAATGTCTTTCTTTCTCCCTCTCTCACACACAAACACAGTTGTTTATCTCGTCTTTAACACACACAGACGCACGCACTCACATACAGACTCCACTCATTACAGG